GAGGCCCGAACTGCACAACTTCCCCCTCAGTGGGGAGGGCGCCAACAAGGAGCATCGCAAAATATTACCAGTGCCTAGATAGAGCACAGAGAGAAGAAATAGTGCCAAAACAATGAGACAATAAAAAAACAAGAAACACAAGAGGACCAACGAGTCCAAAAAGGACCGGAGGTAAGCCTCACCGGAAGACAACAGACGTTCCAATAATGCGGGAAGAATCAAAGACCTTCCCGAGCCCCCGCGACCTCACAGAAGCAAACTATCACGAAGGCTCAGAAAGGCACAGTCACATCCCAAGACCAAAAGTCATGCAGAAACCCCGATAACAGGGAAGCATGACCCCTCACTGACGGAGACGTCCCGCCCAAGAGAAAAGGGGGTAGAAACGGAGAAAAGTACCCACCGATAGGACGGAACCGAACGGACCCGAAGGGACAAGGATCCGAATCCGGGGAGGGGCCAACACGAAACAACTCGTATGCGAAGGGTTGTTTTTATTGTTGCCGCCGGAGGCAGTGAGTTTATTGTGCAACCCATACTCATCCTGTGAGAGGTAGTGCAAAAAGCATTACAGAGGGCACAAAAGGTTTTTATCAGACCTCATCTTAGATTATTACATAAACAGTTTCATCTATCATTCACACCTTATAATTACAATGTCAACTAGTTACAGGGAAAGTGCTATTTCAAGAGCTATATATTTACAGTAAGTCATTAGTGGGGGGGGGGGGGGGGGGGAGAAGGAAAAACCTCACTCCCAGCAGTTCTACCCGGTTGGAGGGTAGAAAACCCCGGCGGAGTTCAATGGGGCCCGAGGCCTCCCCAAGTCAGCCTCTACCCAACCCTGGGAACCTCCATGGCAGGCCCCGGGGCCGAGCCGTCCCCCCCCCCCCCAAAGCCCCAGCCTGAAAAGAAAAGGCCGGGGCAGCCAGAGATTTACTAAGGAAGGGAGCCCACTGGCAGACTGATACAACCCGGCTGGAGGAGCAGGCTCGAATGCCTCTGTTGCTACCCCGAAAGGGAAAACTCCAGAGATCGCTCGAGTTTCAAGACCATCGCATCCCCGCCCCGACCCCGAACCCACAGACGGAAAGGATCCAGATGCAGGGAGGAAGGGGGGAGACCAGACTAAATCACAACAGGGGAAAGACAAGGGGGTGAGGAAGGAGCAAAACCAAAGCAACCAACACCCCCAAGCCCCATCACAACAATAAAAAAAGGGGTAGCCTCGATGCTTCCAGGAAGCAAACCACCAAGCGCGTTGCCACCACCTGAACTCGACATGCAATGCCCGTGCTGCCTGCACCCGCATAGTCAGCATAAGACCGGGTAACCAGGTCACAAACAAGGAACGAAACTCACAGGACTCCGGGTCAAAGGTGCCACCGATCCCACAGGCAGCAGACTGAGGAAAAAAACAAAGAACGTCACCCTGAGACAAGGGGACAGAGCAACCCTTGAACTCGCACAAAGCAAGGGAGGAGACTCGGGGGTCACATCCATTAGACCCATGAGCCACCATGGGGATTCCCAGGGTCCCGAGACGGAACTCACGCTCAGGGAAGCGCCCCTTACCAAGGGGCAAGCAAGGCAGACCCCCCCCCCTCCCCCAAGGGGAAAAAAAAAAAAAAAAAACAACAACGCAAGAAGACAATGTAGCCAAAGGAACAGAGCCGGCCGCAATGAATGGTGAAAACCAGCTGCGCAGCATCCTACGCCCTGTACCAGTGGAAACTACCTCTTACCCTAAGGTAAACAAGGGAGACAAAACATATAAGCACCCAAAGGGCGGCCGAAAAACCGAGCAGTGAAACAGCCCAAAAGCTGCAGGACCCAAGAAACTTGTGGAAGATAACCCCAAACCCCAAGGGCAGTAATTACAGGGCACCTAGGGAAGGGAACCCTAGGCGCATGCAGCCCGAGTACTCTAGAATAACTCCTGGCTCTCGCACCCCTGGAAGATAGCCACCACACTAAGCATAGTGCTGAAAATCACTGCAGCCAGAGCACACAACCTCTGCCTCTAGCATCAGCCTTAGAACTGAAGGATGGATAGCCAGCGCGAGGGTCTGGGGCTCCCCCTTCCCCCTCCCGGAGTTGCACAGACAGCCGCACGGCAACGTGTGATGTCATGCTCATTTGCTTGTTTCTTTTTGGGGAGTTCTATCCACTTGTTCAGCTTTTGGTAGCAATTTTCACCAGAATAGGGGTTTGTTTTGGGACGCTTACCTTTCTGGGTGCCTGACCCGGTCAATGGCAGACATAGAATGCTTTCAACCACACGGGGGTTTCTATATGCCATTGCTCCCCATGCCTCTCTGAGGGGGCCAGGTTCTAGCTCATGGTCCCCAGTAGGCCCAAAGAACTCCATACACATGACTGATGCCAAAGTTTGACATTAGCATATAAGCCTGGATAAGCTCCAGAGAACCGACGGGGCTCCACCCAAAAAAATATAAATATAAATCTTTTCATCATCCTCCTTTTCATGGAGGGTGATCCAGATTTTACTTTGGTGACTATTACTCTTTGGGTTCTGTTCATTAGGTAATTGAAGATCCATCTTGATCACTTTACCAGTGATTACTTGTGTGTGCATTTTAGGTGCAACAATATTATGGTCACATTTGTCCAAAGCTTTTGCAAAATCTGTATTTGCTTAACTTCCATGACATTAAACATCATGACACAATGGTCTAGCAATTGTGAGAAACAAGTTTCTTGCTCTGAACCCTGTTGTCCATGATTATGTTTGTTTATTTATTTATTTATTTATTTGATTTATTTATATATAAATTAAAGAAGGTACTTTGGATTTATGAGAGTACATAGGATTGATGTTTTTACATTCTTGTAAAGCCACCAACACACACTGTTTCGAGCAGGTCCTTAATCTAACAGATAATTTTTAGTAATTAGTAGAAAAAATTGAAGAATATTAACAGATACACAGTAAGAAAATTTGAAGAAAATTAATAGGTTCATTACTGTAAAATATGAGAATTGTCAACAAGTACATATTAGCATAATTTGAGGATTAATTATAGATACATTGTAGTAAAATTTGTATTACACAACAATCATGATATACGATGATAGCAGTGATTACAATGTATATTGGGGGGAGTGGGTAGCACTAGACACAGTGCGAGTTTGAAGAACTAGGTAGGAAACTGAAGATGAAATTAGATACTTTTTGGTTTTACTTGCGAATAAGGCATAGGTTGGACAGCTTTTTAATTCGTTAGGGCGTGAGTTCAATATACTACGTCCCTTTATTTGCATAGTGTGTTTACACAGATTAAGTTTGACTCTGGGGATATCAAAGAAATATTTATTTCTGGTGTGGTGATTATGGGTTCTATTACATCTCTCAAGGAGGAGTTTCAGATCAGGATTTGCATTTAGGAACAAGGTTTTGTATGTGTAAATGGAACAAGAGAATGTGTGGAGTGAGTTAATGTTTAGCATGTTTAGAGATTTAAACAGGGGGGCTGTGTGTTGTCCAAAAACAGAGTTTGTTATTGTTCTGGTAGCAGATTTTTGTTGGATGATGATAGGCTTGAGGTAGTTTGCAGCTACCTTACCTTACCTTGAGGCGATTCCGGGGCTCAGCGACCCTGCGGCCCGGTCATCGACAAGGCTTCCTCGTTGCTGGACTGCTCAATCAGGCTGTTGGATGAGGCTACTCGCAGCCTGATGTACGAGTCACAGCCTGGTTGATCAGCTATCCTTTGGAGGTGTTTGTCAAGTTCTCTCTTGAACACTGTGAGGGGTCGGCCAGTTATGCCCCTTATGTGAAGTGGAAGCATGTTGAACAGCCTCGGGCCTCTGATGTTGATAGAGTTCTCTCTCAGGGTACCTGTTGCACCTCTGCTCTTTAATGGGGGTATTCTGCACATCCTGCCATGCCTTCTGGTGTTATGTGATGTTATTTCCGTGTGCAGGTTTGGGACTAGCCCCTCTACTATTTTCCATGTGTAAATTATTATGTATCTCTCCCGCCTGCGCTCAAGAGAATACAGATTTAGGCTCTTTAGTCGATCCCAATAGTTTAGACGTTTTACTGAGTGGATTCTAGCAGTAAAGGATCTCTGCACGCTCTCCAGGTCAGCAATTTCTCCAGCTTTGAAAGGGGCTGTCATTGTGCAACAGTATTCCACTCTAGAGAGCAATAGCGTCTTGAAAAGTATCATCATCGGTATAGCATCTCTAGTGTGAAAAGTGCTTGTTATCCAACCTGTCATTTTTCTTGCAGTTGTGACAGCTACACTATTGTGTTCTTTAAATGTAAGGCCTTCTGACATGAGTACACCCAAATCTTTTACAGTGCCTTTTCATTCTATGTTATGATTTGACGGTGTTTTGTACGTGGTTTACACGTAAAAGGCAGTGATGGAACCTGGTTCTGACTGGCTGCCACATAACAGACAGTGAAATGTGTGAAAAGAAAACCTGAAACCAGTGATGCAGATATAATGCGCTTATGGCGAGCATGGGACAGTCTCACCACCACTTCCCCTCCTTCCTCCTCACCCTCCCCATACACTAACACCGCTCCTCCCTCCCTCCCTCCCTCCCTCACTGTCTCCCACATGCCACTAAGAGTCCCCAGTAAAGGTAAAGTTAAATGTTCATTTTTTTTATTTATGGTTTATATTTATACCTGACTGTTTTGTGTATGAAAATATGAGTAGTATTCTCTATAAAATGTATTTTAAAGTTAATATTTTAGGGGGTGTGGAACGGATTAATTCAATTTACATTATTTCTTATGGGAAAATTCATTTTGGTTGACGACGTGTCTCTGGGAATGGATTACTATCGTAAACGAAGGTACCACTGTACATAAATTGGATGATCAGTGCCATTTAAATACGAACCCACTTCTGCCCGCCTTGCAATCCGCAATCTACCCACTCTCCTGCCTTACACTGTAAATAGCCTTTTCTAAAGATAGTTTTGGAACAACAAATTTTTAAAATGCCATTGGAACTTACTGCTTTCTTTTTGGCTGCTAGATCCAGGTTGTGAATGCCCACTAGTAAGGAGTAATCCATGATCTTGAACGATGTTAATACCTGCAAGATAAAAATTAATTCCTAAGCAGCTTTCAACTTTCAAGCTCAATATAAAGGTACACAAGATTAAAAAATTAGATGGTTTGCACACAGGTATGCTTCCTTATGAATGTGATCAAGAATAAACATCAGCATATATAAAGGGTTACCCGAACTTTGTTCAATGCAGAATTTCAAAAAATAATTGCATGTAACTGATCTACCTCCCTACTGTCGGTTCCAGAAATAAATGTCCCCATGGCCAGGTCACTGACCATGGAAAGCCATTGTCCATGGAGCCACTGACCATGTATGTAGCCATTGTGGCAATGTGTTTTTGGCCAGGAGGCCAGGTCACTGACCAGGCCTCTTGGTTGGTGATCTGCTCAATCAGATGCTTGGGTGTCTTTATCAACTTCTCTTTTGAACATCAAGAGAAATCATTTAGCTAGACTTAACACTGCAGATGACCTGAAAAATATGAGCCTTGGAACACAGAACCAAGGACACAGGATCCATCAAAAACACATCCACCGAGGTAAAATCCCCACTGCTACAAAGGTAGCAGTGGGGAGCTGCCACCAGACAAAGCACATGGTGCACATCCCCGGCTGAACCAAGCATCAATGACCAAAGGACCCCTCCAGAAGCCAGCCAACTCGTCTTTCATTATTAAAGAATGAGCCGGATGCAAATGAACAAAATGGCCACAAGGGCCAATGGAATAAATCTACTTCCAGAGAAATGCACAAAACTCCCAGACCCAACAACTTAAGGCAAACCCAACAAAAAAGAGAGAGCCTTAGAAAAAGACCCAGAATCCCAGACTGAAGGGGACACTGCAAACTGAGAAGAGGACAGAAAAAATAAAGAACACATTCCAAGGACCAAGTAGGCTCAAGCGACGCATGAGCAGGACAAAAGTAAAACAATGTGAGAGAGAACCTGTGAAAGGACACCAAATGCAGGTTGCAGCAGCTCTACCGGTATCACACATTGTGAGGCAACAGTATTCAGCATAAGATGCTGATCAAGAAAAAGCCAAAAAAGAAAGGAGAGCACAAAATATTCAAAAACTAAACAACAATAATGAAGCAAAACGATGTGACAAAAGGAGCGTCAAGAAATCTCATGTTGTCATCCAGAAAAAGAATGCAGATGGGACACCATCAAAGAATCAATCTGCTCTCCATAAAGATGGCAAAAGAGAAGTGCCAAAAAGTCCAGATGCAAACAGCAGAAGAGAAGGTCAAACCAGCGAAGTACGTCACTCAGGTCAATCGTCTGAAAGACGCCGAGCCAGGGAAAAATGCCCGGGTTTGGACACACAGCAAGCAGCACCTAAAACCAAGGCCGAGCCAGCCACCAAGGAGCCAAAAGGACCACCTTTTCCTGGTAGGACTACAATCTGGTCAAGACGGAGAGCAACAGCTGAACCTGGGGAAAGCGGTGCAGGAACCCCCACTGCGATGATTCCAGACCAAGAGCATCCACTGCCATGGTGTGACAATTGGGGAATGAAGTCGTGTAAAGAGGAAAGAACCAATGTCATGCCAATGCCAAGAGGTCCACATCAGGGTTAACTACCTTGTGGCAGTTCTGGGGATGAAAGGCCCCATGGCCCGGTCTCTGACCAGGCTTCCTGCATGGTCATTTGGTCAATAAGGCTGTTGGACACAGCTGCGAGCAACCATGAAGTCATACGTCTGACTGCTCACAGACTGACATATGAATCGCACCCTGGTTGATCTGGTATTTTTTGGAGGTGTTTGTCAAGTTCTCTCTTGAACATTGTTAGAGGCCAGCCAGTTATGCCCCTTATGTGTAGCAGGAGTGTTCAAAAGTCTAGGGTCCTTTATGTTGATAAAGAGTTCTCTCCCAGTGTCCCTATTGCACCTCTGGTTTTCAATGCAGCTATATTGCACAGCCTGCCATGCCTACTGGTTTCATGTGACATAATTTCTGTGTTCAGATTTGGAACCAGTCCCTCTAATAGTTTCCAAGTGTAGATTGTTATGTATATCTCTCACCTGCACTCTAGAAAATAATAATTTAGAACTTTTAATCAGTCACAATAACTTAGATGACTTATAGAGTAGCTTCTAGCAGTAAAGAATCTTTGCACGCTCTCTAGGTCAGCAATTTCTCCATCAATGAATGGGGCTGTTTGTGTGCAAATATTCCACCCTAGAGAGCCTTATTGTCTTGAAAAGTATCATCATTGATAAGACATCTCTTGTATGGATGTTTGGAAGGTTCTTCTTATCCAACTCTGTCATTTTTTTTGCAGTCATGACAATTACTTTAGTGTGTGCTTTAAAGCATCGAACACAACCTCATTGTTATAACCTATGGATCCGGGAGTGATAAAACCATTCAAAGCTTATTTACACGTGTAAAGCCTTTTGCCAGGCACTTCATGCAATAGACAACGTGGACAATTTCCTCAAGGAGTTCTGGCGAGAGACTAACATTTACAAGTCAATTAGAAACATAGGAAAAGCGTGGGATGAAGTTAAAGTGATTAACATGAATGATAAAATGATGTTTGGAAAAAGTGTGTTCTCAATTTGTGAATAATTTTCAGGGTTTTGAGAATCAATTGCAGGAGATGATTAAAAACATTGTTGAAATTACAAAACATGTAAACCTTGAGATTGATGAGGAAAATATGGAAGAGGTGTTAGACTCTCATTCAGAGGAGCTCACAAGTGAAGAACTTGTGTAGATGGAGGCAGCAAAGAATAAAGATTAGGTTTTTCCAGAGGAGTTGGTTGATGACACTCCCAGCAAAACAATTCACAACCAAGAGATTTGCAGAGGCATTTGAGTGGGTAGATGATGCCTTGGCAATTTTGAAAGATCAAGATGATGCTGACAAGAGATATCAAAATGCTTCGGCAATCACCTCTCAAAAAGTCACTATCAATTGCCTCAATAATTTTTAAGAAAAAGTCTGACCCAAAACCATCCACTTCTACAGCAGCTTGTGACACTGATGACCCACAGGTGTTTGCCACCAACCCATCATCTCCCACATCAAAAATAGCCATTGACATTGAAAATGATCAGCCATCCTCTGCTGCCGACACATCGCTACCCTCCAATGATGCCGCTTTGCCAACCCTCCACTACCCACACATTGCTATCTTCTGCCATTTCCTTCATCACTAGATCTCTTCACTCCTCAAAAATAGCTAACTTTGACAAGCAGGACAACTCTATCATTCAAGGTAAATAATATGCTGCATTTTTAATATTACATGTACCAAAAATATATGTTTTGTGAGAATTTTTGGTGGCCTGGGAAAACATCTCTCATTTATAGCATTGCACCTATGGGAAAATCTCACTTCCCATCCTGAACAACTATTTAACTAACATTCTCAGAAAAAGACAGTCACAAAATGTGGCTGAAGATCTGATGACCGAACCACACATCAGAAAGTGAAGAAACAGAGACATTTCGGTCCATCCTGGACCATTATAATGGTCACACAATAATGCCTTACCATAATAATGGTCACACAATAATGCCTTACCATAATAATGGTCACACAATAATGCATTACCATAATAATGGTCACACAATAATGCCTTACCATAATAATGGTCACACAATAGAGTAATGCCATTATCAAGTGTGGACACGGCTTGATAATGGTCCAGGACAGACCGAAACGTAGTCTTTTCTTCCCCTTCTGATGTGTGATTTGGTCATCACGTTCACCTTCTTAGAATGCAACTTGTACAAATTTGGAGAATGCCTGTAGGAAATAGAGTACCATACAGGACCTACTGAGAGTCAATGCATTTTCCCAAATTTTTGGGGAGCTCTGAACAATATTGATATGCTAAACAAAAGAAAAACAATAATTACCCTGCAGTCCCTGGCAATGGTGTTGACGAGAGCCTTGTAAGTTTCAGCTTCTAAGAGAATGCCATCAGGATGATGCTCCATAAAATCTAGATCCTTAAACGTCGGAGAGTCTTTGCTGCGCTCATATTTATTAGCCTGAGAAAGAACAATAAGGGCATCAACAAAACCTTTTAATTTAGTGTTGCACAGTATTCACATATTAATTTTTAACCTGTTATGGTATGAAGTTCATTATCCTCTCAAGAGCTCCTCTTTAGAATTGTTTACCCTACAGAGTTATTTGAGATACTTTTCTACTATGTACTCATATTTTTAGCTACTGTTTTTCCTATTAGATATTTTCCCTTACTTTGTTTATGTGCTTTTTCATGTTCCTTTCCTCTTTTAATCTTTATGAATATACAGGTATCTGATCATGCAATTCCATGGCTGCCTACATATTATTCCTGTGGGAAAGAGGCTTGTAGCACACTAGCACATCTGGAGAGAAAGGACTTTGTAATGCACCACCAGCAAGGGTTCAGTGAGCAGTCATTTCACAATTTTAATAGAATTATGCAACCAAGCGACAGAAAGAGGGTACAGTGGGCAAACTACTATTTTTTTTATGTCAAACGCCTTTTGAAAGTACAATACCTGAGATAAGAGACCTTACCTTTCAGTTACCTTTGTTGGTTCTGAAGATCAATGTCATAGATATGATATTGTCCTTGTCCCTTGGTTCACCTGCCATATATCTTTGGGCACTGCTTAACATAGGTGAACTTTCAAATTCTTTACTTATTTCTTCTATTATTCAAGAGGCTTATATATATATATATATATATATATACAGTGTGTCCTCACTTGAACGAACTATATGGGGCGAAGCCGATTCGTTCCAGTGCGGAATTCGTTCCATCCGTCCGGCCCCAACAACCTTCTTATTTTTTTTTTTTTTAAACATATGCCAGGACACATTAGTTTGTTTCTTTGTTGGGTGGTGCTTCATTATAATATCTTTCATGCTCTTTTGGTGTCAATAATAATCTGAGATGCGAGAATCACCATCCCCCACACCACTCACACCATCCCCCCCACACCACCCACCACATCCTCCACACCATCCTCCACACCACCCACACCATCCTCCACACCACCCACACCATCCTCCACACCACCCATACCATCCCCACACCACCCATACCATCCCCCACACACACCCCACACCATCCTCCACACCACCCATACCATCCCCACACCACCCATACCATCCCCCACACCACCCACACCATCCTCCACACTACCCACACCATCCTCCACACCACCCATACCATCCCCCACACCACCCATACCATCCCCCACACCACCCACACCATCCCCCACACCACCCACACCATCCCCCACACCACCCACCTCCATCCTCCACACCACCCACACCATCCCCACACCACCCACACCATCCCCCACACCACCCACACCATCCCCCACACCACCCACACCATCCCCCACACCATCCCCACACCACCCCCCACCCACCCACACCATCCCCCACACCACCACCCACACCATCCCCCACATCACCCACACCATCCCCACACCACCCACACCATCCCCCACACCACCCACACCATCCCCACACCACACCACCCACCATCCCCCACACCACCCACACCATCCTCCACCCACACCACCCACACCATCCCCCACACCACTAGCACCATTCGCCCCCACCACCCACACTCCCCACACCACCCACCCACACACCACACACCACCACCCACACCATCCCCCACACACCCCACACCACCACCCACATCATCCCCCACACCATCCACACCATCCCCCACACCATCCCCCCACACCATCCCCCACACACCCCACACCACCACCCACATCATCCCCCACACCATCCACACCATCCCCCACCCATCCCCCACACCACCCACACCATTCCCCACACCACCCACACCATCCCCTACACCACTAACACCATTTGCCCCCACCACCCACACTCCCCACACCCCACCACCCACACACCCCACACCACCACCCACATCATCCCCCACACACCCCACACCACCCACATCATCCCCCCACACCCAACCACACCACCCACACCAACCCACCCACACCCAAACCACACCACACCACCCACACCACCCACATCGTGTATTGAAGCAGCAGGCTTGGAAGCGTCTCAACTCTCCCGACAAAAAAAAATGATGGGTTGACAGGTCTCCTCTCACACCTCCAGGACCCCCCCCCCCCACCCCCCAGGTACCCGGCCATACACACCACAATGCCAAGTCAGCTATTGTTTTCTTCAGGAAACAAATAAAACGTGTTAATGATTAATAATGTATAGTAATACACGAAAATTAACATATTTTGGCATAAATATTTTACAGCTAAGATTGAGATTTATAATAGAGTATGAATGAGAGGTTTGGCAGCCATGCGTGGTCACCACCCTTCTCTCTCCACTTCCACCTCCCCTGACAACACCTTCCACCACTGACCCCACCTGCCTCTTTCCACCACCTGCCTCCCCTGACACCGCCTGCCTCCCCTGACCCCACCTGCCTCCCCTGACCCCACCTGCCTACCCTGACCCCACCTGCCTACCCTGACCCCACCTGCCTCCCCTGACCCCACCTGCCTCCCCTGACCCCACCTGCCTCCCCTGACACCGCCTGCCTCCCCTGACCCCACCTGCCTCCCCTGACACCACCTGCCTCCCCTGACACCACCTGCCTCTTTCCACCACCTGCCTCCCCTGACCCCACCTGCCTCTTTCCACCACCTGCCTCCCCTGACCCCACCTGCCTCCCCTGACCCCACCTGCCTCCCTTGACCCCCCCCTGACACCACCTGCCTCCCCTGACACCACCTGCCTCCCCTGACCCCACCTGCCTCCCATGACACCGCCTGCCTCCTCTGACACCACCTGCCTCCCCTGACCCCACCTGCCTCCCCTGACCCCACCTGCCTCCCCTGACACCACCTGCCTCCCCTGACCCCGCCTGCCTCCCCTGACACCACCTGCCTCCCCTGACCCCGCCTGCCTCCCCTGACACCACCTGCCTCCCCTGACCCCACCTGCCTCCCATGACACCACCTGCCTCCCCTGACCCCATGTGCCTCCCCTGACACCACCTGCCTCCCCTGACCCCACCTGCCTCCCATGACACCACCTGCCTCCCCTGACCCCACCTGCCTCCCCTGACACCACCTGCCTCCCCTGACCCCACCTGCCTCCCCTGACACCGCCTGCCTCCCCTGACACCACCTGCCTCCCCTGACACCGCCTGCCTCCCCTGACACCACCACAAATGATGCCAGCCACCTCACCAAGGCCTAACGTTCACACGACCTGTGCTTGTTTTATTGGCCTCCTCAAAATTTATTCTAAATAGGTATTAGTACAGTACGTAGGCTGTTAGAGGAGGGAGGGAGGGAGGGATCCAGGAAACAAACCCCCCTCCCACCCCCCACTCCCCCAATGGCTCAGGGAGCGACCGGCCGGCCACACAATGCCAACTGTTATCTACACCCCAATTGTATTAAAAATTCTGTGAAAAGGAAATGTGTTCAAACTGTTTAAAATATGTACTGTATATATTACAATTTTCACCATTATTATTGCTCCAATATGACATTTTTCTAATAAAAAGGCTATTTTCAGTGTAGATAATGCGATAATTATCATTAAATTGACTCTTGGCATCTGACGACGAGAGGAGAGTGAGTGGTCTCTGTGGTCAGGTGGAGGAAGGAGGGTGGGGGCGGGGGAGCACGTGTTGCCTCCTGACAACAACTCTCTCACCAATGCCCCCCTGACACCATTTTATCACCATTTTTATCACCATTTCTCCCTAGAAACAATGGGTAGGGATAATAAAACACTACATAACTGTTTACACTCTGGCGAATCATAGTTGATGACAGCCAGCTCTGACGCTCGGCCTCGGTGACCACTTGGACGAACATTCCTCACTTAATCGAACATTTGTATGTTCCACTGAACATTTGGTACCGAATTCAATTTGTTCGGCTCTTCCGGGAATTCGATAGAGCGGGGTTCGTTAGTCTGAGGAAGCACTGTATATATATATATATATATATATATATATATATATATATATATATATATATATATATATATATATTTTTATCTCACTCCCTTGTTCACAGAATTTCTCTTAGGCATATGGTAGCAAGTGCGGTATCTGGGGTCAAGGAATATAAACATGTACATGGAAGTACCTCCTGGTGATCAGTACAGGTGGCCAGGTAGGCCAACTGGTAGTTAGCAAGAGTCCCATCTAGCTGGTCACTAGTGAGCCAGAGAGAGAGAGAGAGGGGTTCCGAGGGACTGAGTCTATGATTTGACCTTTGTAATTCCTAATTAGATTTTTCTCTAGTGCTCCCTAGCACCTACAGTGTTTTGACCCTACAATGGTCATTTGAAATGTCTCTTAGGTATGTCACCAATGTGCTATCCTACCCGACAGTACATATTTCTGTTCACGACACAGTTGGATTTAACTTCTAAACAAGAAACCAATAATGTTAACTAAAAACATAAAATAATACTACATCTCTAGTTGTGATGACTTACCTTTCTCTTATATGTGGAACCCTTTAAATCGTACCTCTGGTGCATCTTTATTGACGACGGAAGCAAATTGTTCATAGTTATTAACCTAATATTCTTGGCATTACACTGAAATAAGAATGAAGAGGTTAGTAAATCTTGAAAAGGAAAATATGCACTTCATATTTGTAAGCATCACATTATAAAAATAAAAGATTTAAGAAATAAATCAATGATGCAATAACAAGAAAAAGGTTAATAAAGGTAAAAATGATAAAAATGAAAATAGTGTACTCAATGCTGTATCCAATATAAACACTTCACTAAATTCTTAAACTTCACCTTGTTTTTGTTTTGTATGTGAAACAACATTGAGAATAGTTTATTACTTTATTACTGTCTTGCTAGAAAAATGAAAATATATTTGCAGTATTATCTTCTAGGTAGGCTTTTGTGGCAATTATTAATACAAAATTTTGTTCTTTCATTGTAAACCATTTTTAAATGAATGTATAAAAATGAGTGCGAGACCGAGTATTACACCGTATGCAACTCTGAACTACTCGCTCACCCTCATGATGCACCACGAGGCTCACACAACAAAGGTGGGAGTTGAGCCATCAAGACCAGCTAAAAAAGTTGACCCTACAAACACTGTAAAAGAGGAGAACCAGAGGAGACAATGTCATGATATACTAAAAGACAGCTGAAGTCAACATAGATAGACTACTCCAGATGAGGACAAATAGAATACAAGAAGCAAGCGGAAACGTGACAAAAAATGGGCCAAAATTATTTAAGAAAATGTTCCATATACATAAAGAACTCAATAGAAGGAACAGAGTGAGGGATGAAGTAGGCAAGAATATTCAATAAACAAATTAAAAAATATAGTACATACAAGTTAAGTCTTACAAAATTGTGCAGTATTCAGTATCAGATTCTCAAAAGTGAAGTGACTAATCCTCCCTACCTGCAAGCACTAATAAGTGAGATCTAATAAACACAAACCACCTCATTCATTTATTGGTTATCACCCGCCAAACACACACCAAAACTACGACGTTGGTACAACGTTCGAACAAGCTTTAACACCTCCTAACTAGTTATAACAACCAATAAAACAAGTTGTAACAACGTTCTAATGCATCATAAACACGTTAAGCCAAGATGTAACACCTTTATTACAAGTTGTAACAAGCAGAAAATAGAGACAGTTTCGGTTTGTGTTTCCAGAGCATACATAATAAGTAGACAAGAAAAATATCAATCAAAAGTTAAGCACTATGATTGAATAAACCAAATAAATTCATTAAGGAAGGAGGCAAATTATATTTCCTTCGCATAAACAGTGTATCTTATGGCTACACAGAGTTGATTCCAAGAATCAATGTCTCTTGTGAACCAGTCTCCTGGTCGAGAATTTGGTCAACCAGGCTGTTGTGTTGCACTAACAAGCTAATAATCCAACTGACCATTAATAACAGCTTGCTATTTACAGTACAAGAGAAAACACTAACCTCAGCTTCCATTGTTACTCTTAGCCTTTAACTAACATATAATAGAGATCCATACAATAATAATACTGTAAAAGCACTTTCAAACTCATATCAGCTCTCTGATCAATAAAAGATCAATTAATGTATTCTCTGATTCTTTCAAACATTTAATTTCACATTAGTTCTCTCCCTACTGCAACTAGCTTTTGTCAAACTAAAGTAAACATTTCAAAAATATTAAATCAAAATCTGTACTACAAATAATAAAATGACAATAGTAAACAAAATAGATTAAAGAAGACAAATTTTACTTATATTGAACACATTAAAATAGGTTTAATGAGAACCATTAAGATAATGGTTCTTGAGCACCAGGAGTAACAGGAGTGTTGACAGTGCTAGGGGCACCAAGTAATGAAACACTGTACAGTATGTGGAAAACCTGCGGTAAATAGAGTACAGTACTTAACCCTTAGACTGCACATATTACCACGCATATTTGGGGGCCTAGTAGCGAAAAATATTCAAATTATGTAAAAATAACTTGAAAATGTTAAACAAATCTCCAACTTATTGGCTTCAGTGTCGTGAAACTTTCATCAAAATATTTTCAGAAATTGATTTTAGACGAATTTTTTAAAATAAGAACGTTTTGTTGATAAGGAGAACAGCTCCAAATAAGTGGAACTGAAGGATTATGCAGTAATAAAGAGATACAAGCACCTGTCTGATGCTCAAAGAAGAATAGTAGTAAGAAGTGTCCACAAAGTGGATATGCAGTTGGTTCTTTTATAACATTGCTCAGTAATACATAAATAATAATGAGTACCTAAGTTATTATGCTCTATTTTGTTATATATCATATAAATACATTGTCCAATGTTAATATATGTTACTTTCATCACTGTCACAAAAATATTTTGTTTTTGTTTTTGGGAGGGGGGGGGGGGGGATGATAATTTTTTTTTTTTTTTTTTTTTTTTTTTAATATTTTAGTTAATTTTTCTCCTTTGTTTATTATCTGATTTTTTTTATAACCTTTACATCCTGGAGAATGCATACGTTGCCATAACTCTGTGAAGATAGAATGATATTGGTCAACAAGTCAGTCACAACTCACAAAACTTGGAACTTTTAATTTTTTTGACCGATTTTTTCACAAACTATTTTCTTTGTCTCTTTAGGTTGTTTTGATGATTAGGGACCATATTAGGGCTTTTTTACTTATATAAAGTATACCCTAAATATATCCCCTAAATCATTATAATTATCCCTATATTTTGTGTTTTTTGGGGGGTTATCTTGATTCATTTCAACACATATTGACCTACAACTTTCACACATTCAAGTACAAATGCCAAACAATGTTTATTAAAACATACAACTAAATTAACAAATTAAAACTACCTTTATTCATTGTTGAAAAGTTCAACTTCAATTATCTCTGCAACTAGAGTTTTATCTTTGAATGGCTTCTAATACTCAAGTTTTTGACTGATTCTCACTATTTTCACATTGTGTGCTCAGCTGTCTGTTCTACAATCCCTTCAAAATGTTTTTTTTCATAAATTTTATACATTTGGAGTTATAATTTTTTTGGATTAAATTTGCCGCATATTTCAAATGCCTTATTGACGATTATTTTTACAATAAACTATATTGAAACCTGTATTCGAATTTGATGAAAATGAAGATCATATGCTTTTCTGAGAGAATAATAACATTAAATGAACAATTTGTGACGGTTCATATTTTTTATTCTGAATTGAAAATCTGAAGTTTTCAATATTCAATTTTAAAATTAATTTTGATTCTCTTGTTTTTCAAGTTACGCTGTGATCATTTAAACAAAGTTGGAGCATTTTCCTAGTTGATTATGCAAAGAAAATTGGAAAGTGTTTGTGAAAGTTTTAAAAACTTATGTTAAATTATTTTATGTCAAATCGTATACAGTATGCACGTATTGCGCTGTTGAAGTGTTAATGATCTTCAGTCGGCTTATCTAGAGCAAGTACAAAAATGCAATACAATAAATAATTTATATGGATTATGCCATTTGTTTTATATGAGAGAGTGCGTGAGTGTGTGTGTGTGTGTAACTACCTAAGTGTAGTTACAGGATGAGAGCTACGCTCATGGTGTCCCGTCTACCCACCACTCTGTCATATAAGGACATAGGTAAGGATCATAAACAATGAGAGGAATGATTCTATACCTTCTGGGAGATCATTTACATATATCAGAAACAGTATAGGTCCAATACACATGGATGTCACAATAGCGTGATGCATCAAATGAACAAATCCACAAGGGCCGTGACAAGGGTTTGAATCTACGTTCAAACCAGGATACTTGATTCAAACTACTATACTTGGACCAGTATAGGTCCAAGGACTGATCGCAGCGGGACTCCACTAGTGACGTCTCGCCAATCTAAGACCTCACCCCTCACAGTGACTCGCTGTTTTCTGTTGCTTAGGTACTCCCTTATCCAATGGAGTACCTTCCCTTTCATTCCTAACTGCATCTCCAGCTTGTGCACTAGTCTCTTGTGTGAAACTGTGTACCACACAGTACTGTGTGTGTGCATACTCATAGAGACAAGTTCCTTGAGCAATCACCTAATCTAACCCAAAAAATGCATCCTAAATTTTACCATTACTAATACAATGTTAGCAAATAATTGTTATTGTTGAAGGGGCCAGATGGTTTTTAATGCTTTTCCCTTGAGACCTATAAAATTACTTTTAATAATATAAATCTTTGAAAGTTTTGCATTTATAATTAACACCATGTCTTTCTGTCAAATGATAAAAGGTAAACAATAGAAATAATATAAAAATAATAAATAGGTAAATAATAGAAATCAAGACTCACAGAGATCAGCTTTTAGGGCTTTTAGTCAGAATGTTTATAAATAATGTGACTACTGTATATCAATAAAAGTACTGTACACAGAACTTGAAGTGTTAAACAGACATTGTAAAGGGGCCTCTCACACTTTACTGGTGATATCTATGAGTTTTGTGTCCATTTGTAAAGTAACAGGTTAAAACTTAGTAAAATAACCACAATATCAATGCAAGCATTAAAATCAAAACTAGTTATTTATAATGCTCACTACATAAAAACTAAAAAATATTTTGCATAAATAAAAAACTGAAGAAAACCTATGTCTCATATACATGCTTAAATGCACACAAAAAAAGATAATGGATATCTGGGCAAAATTTATAAATCTGAGGTCTTTCATAAAATTTAATTGACACACTCTTGCAAAAATCAACCTACCCTGTTACATTGTAACAAATAATCTCTTTAACCCAAGTGAAATTGACTTTTGGTCATGAAACATTATTTAAACACCACATTAACTTAGACAGAGCAAAATAATATATCCTTTACGATTATACTGTATTGGGCAATGTGAGCAGCAACCAGAATGTCTGTTACTGTACTTATTTGCTAATTTAACAAATTGAACACTCACCCATGCATTATGTGAAATTATGTGAGAAAAGATACTAAAAATGCTGACAAGGAATGAGATTAAGAGTGGTTCAGGATAGTAAGCTGTCACCAAAAGATCACATAAAGAGCATTGTGAAAGGAGCCTACATTATGCTACCA